AATCTTTAGCAGGTCTAGCACGTGTCATCCTAGATACACATGTCCTGCCCCTGATGCTATAGTTTATTTAAGATGCCACTTGTAACCCTACCGTTTGCTATGTTACCTTAGAAAAAAAAGTCTCTACTCTATCCTCTAAGTCAATTATTTAGCACTGTTTTTTTTTTCTTCGATTTCCGTAACTCCGTTGCTGAATATTTCTATTGATATCATTTAGAAAAATGCTATTTATCCCCAGTGAGAATGCATCCTCATTCTATATGGATGTAAATGATTGGTTAAATGATATGTGAAATTAAATAAATTTTTTAATTTCACTTATCATTTAATGCCACATTAACGTTACATAAACTGAGGATACATCCTCAATGAAGATGAATAGCATTTCTCTATCATTTAAAACAACATTATTTCACTTAGGTCGTTTACCTAATAACATTTCCATTAATGTTGAGTAAACAACAATTTGAGTAAAAGATTGACAAATTTATTTTTATTTTAGGTCCAGTGGTCGTGTACAAATCCTCTTTGCTTGCAAATATTATAAAAGTACGATTTGAGAAGTATTTATAAACTGTTTAAATTATAAATAAAAGAAATAAGTGGTGGATAAGTAAACAATACTTTTGAATGTCTCGAAGTGTGTGAAAAAAAAAAAATTGGCTCGAGTGTTCATAAACTGTTTATAAACTTTTACACCACTTTTTCTCAAACATCTTTTTCTCTTGGACGCTCATTTCACCGATACTTTGCTCTTCGCTCGAAAAGGAAAATTTTCATGTAAAATATTTTTTTCATAATTGTTTGAAATGAAATTCAACAAATGAATAAAAATATAAAAATCCATTTCAATAGGCAAATGTCAAAATTTAAATATTTCATTAAATCACAATAGAAAACAATGAATTTCACTAAAAAATAAAAATCCAATCATAAATTTAAATATTCTATAAAATCTAAAAGCACCAAGCTAGAACAAGTCATTGCTTAGTTTATGAAGTACGATCGAACTTGGAACTTGACATTGGCCAAATTTACAAAGAAAAAAGAAAATTATTTGGTAAATATGCAGATCTAGGAAAAAATTAGAACTCGGGGGCCAAGAAAAGTTGGAAGGTTGATGGAAAATTTGTCCTTAGTGTGGGGCATGCATAATTTTTTTTTTTTTTTTTTTTTCAAAAATTCACAACAGACCCATAAACCAATTAACCTTAGCAAATTGGTATATAGATTTCATAAAGTTGACACCCGTCCCATCTTTCTTCTTCTATTACTTGGGTTCATTAAGTTTGTATTGGGTCAAATTCATCGTTGGGCCAAATTGCATTTTTCTAAATTGGTTATTGGTGAACATCGATGGATTTATTGGGTATGTGAGGTCAATTGACCGCACATAAAATTCGTCAATATTTACCACTCATTTTTGCTTAATTATAGTTTTAAGTCGTTTATAAATAATTTTCAAATATGCTTTTATTTATAGTACATCTCACGAGGGACATATCATTTCTCTAGTTGGGATTTTCATCACATAAATACCTAGGTATATACATCAAAAGGATAACATTGCGAATTAAAAGAACAAGAAAAATATAAGAGAAGAAAATAGGGAGTAAATAGACTTGTATACTTTTATTATAACATCAAACTCATATTTATAAGGTCCAAATGAGAGTTACAATCTGAAAATAATATATTCTTTTAAATAAATCAAACTTATTTAAATATCCTAATAGGACTAAATAATCATCATATAATTTTATAAAACTCGTCACTTAATAATTATTTGAATAAAAATTACATTGTTAAAACCTTACTTGATAAAAACCTGGTAAAAAATTAATACGAAGGGAAAAAAGTACATATAATTATTAAAATTTTGAAGTATAAAGAAAATGTCATCCCATTAAAACCTTATCGGAAAAATCTACTGGGACAAATCTTGGATGAAGGAATACGAAAACAGCTACTCTTTCTGATGACACCTTTCGAAAGCAAGAAAGGAACAAGCTTAAAAAGCCATTTTCCTTTTTAATAATAATAGCTAAGGTAAGTTAATTTCATAGCTCCAACTTAGTAAAGGGTCTTGGAGTCGACGCATTCCAATTTCATGTACCAATTCTTCAATATAGTTGTCGATAGGGTTTTTGTGAAAAATTCGGTCATATCGTCACTCAAGGGAATTTGTTAAATATCGATGTTGTCATTCTTCCGAAACTCATGTGTATAGAAGAAATTTGAAGAAATATACTTTGTCTTGTCCTCTTTGATATAGCCTCGTTTGAGTTGATGATTCAGTCCGCATTATTTTCATATTAAACTATCTTTTATTGAAATTAATTCACATGATACTTGAATACGATATGTCATATTCCTCAACCATACAAATTCTCAACTTGTTTCATGAATTGCAATAATTTCAAAATGATTTAAAAATGTTGTTATGAATGTTTGTTTCTCCAAGATATAGTTGTTCTACCATATGTACACATATCTTGTTTACGATTTAGTTTTAT